CACCCAGCACACACACTTTTTGCCCCACTCCCCTCAGGAAGGAGGTTAAGGAGCATTAAGTGTAGAACCACTAGACTGAGGAACAGCTTCTACCCTGAGGCTGTTAGACTCATGAATCTCTAACCAAGGTCAAGGTTCTTTATTGTCATTCGCATCACATGTGGTACATGAGGTGGAACGAAATTGTGTACACAGATTCCCAGTTACATCCAACAATAGCAAAAATATAAAGTGTAAAAAGAAACAGTAAATAAGGTTCTAAGATATACACTAAAATACGTAAGATTCTATATATTAAACTAGCTAGTCACTAATAATGCAAAACAATACACGGAACAACAGAAGCACAAACATGGGTCTTTGTGGGTGGATGAGTACGAATGAATGAACACAGCAGCATGAAATAAATTAGCAGCATGGATAATCAGCAGCACATATCAACAATTAAGTTGCATTACAGTCATTTTTTTTCACAGTGATTATTCTGGATCAAGTTTTCTACACAGGAACTGGCTCAAAATAGATTTTTTTTCATTCAACCTTTATTTAGACAGGTAAATCCCATTGAGCCTCGAGGACTCATTTACAAGAGAGACCTGATTTCAACAAAGAAAGATGACAACAATGGACAACAGTGACAACAATAAACAATTATAAAGAGGCATACAATTTAAATTGATTTTTTTTTACAAATAAGATGGCTAAAAACAAGAAAAGTAACAAAAACAGCTAGATTATAAGACAAATGTAGAAAACTAACAACAGGAACATGTCTGCATTGGTCCCTGCCAGGTGTCCAACAGATTCTTAAAGACACTTAGAGAGGTCAAGGTCGAGAGCTTCAAATCTTTTTGTAAGATATTCCAGGAAACAGGAGCGGAGTAGGAGAAGGCCCTTTTGTCTAGTTCATTCCTCACTGAGGGAACACTGCAGGTATTAATGTCCTGAGAGCGCACGCTGTAGCTGCACTCACACAGAGACATGTAGGAGGAGATGTATGAAGACAGCAGACCAAGAAGTGATTTAAAGATGAAAATGTACCAGTGAGAGAGTCTGTGTGAAGTTAATGATGTCCAGTTAACCAGTGAATACTGGGTGCAGTGGTGGGTACGATAATCACAGCCAGTTATGAATCTTAGTGCACCATGATAGACAGCATCCAACATCTGCAGCATCCAACATCTGCAGGGTTCTTGTAGGAGCGTTCATGTAAATAATGTCACCGTAATCAATGGAGGGAAGGAAAGTCACAGATACAAGGTGTTTCCTAACATTCAGGGTTAGACAGGATCTGTTTCTGAAAAAGAAACCCAGTTTAACTTTCAGTTTCTTTACCAAGTTTTCCACATGGAGCTTAAAAGAGAGATGTGAGTCGACCAAGATACCCAAATATTTATAAGAATCAATAAACTCAATGGGGACACCATTTGAGGATAAAATCGGAGGAAGAACTGCTGGGACCAACTTCCTATTTGAAAAAAGCATCCCTTTGGTTTTTTCGGCATTTAGGACAAGTTTGAGGTGAAACAAATCAGACTGGATGATGTTGAATGCAGATTTCAAAAGCTGGAAAGCCTTAGCAACAGTTTTAGCTCGACAATAAACAACTGTGTCATCAGCATAGAAATGTATGGATGCATTAGGGATGTTTTTACCTACATTATGTATGTAGATTGTAAAGAGGGTGGGTCCTAAGACTGAGCCTTGTGGTACACCATTGTTGACTGTTAAATAACTGGAGGAAGTACCATCATGTTGAACACATTGCCTCCGGTCTGAAAGATAGTTAGAGAACCAACCAATGGTGTGTTCTGAGAAACCAATTTCTGAGAGTTTATGACACAAGATGTTATGATCCACAGTGTCAAAAGCTTTAGACAGGTCTAAGAAAAGTGCAGCACAATAATCCTTAGCATCCAGTGCTTCAACAACATCATTAAGAACCTTCAGTGAAGCAGTGGTTGTGCTGTGTTGTTTCCTGAAACCAGATTGATGTGGAGGTAAGATGTTAAATGAGTCCAGGTAATTTTTGATTTGAGAGTTTATCAGTTTTTCTAGAACCTTGGCTAAAATGCAGAGTTTAGAGATTGGTCGATAGTTGTTCAGTGAGGTGGGGTCTCCTCCCTTCAGCAAAGGAAGAACAAAGGCTGTTTTCAAGTGTCTGGATGGAGTTTTGTCTTATACCATACCATACCATACCAATTTATTTATATAGCACTTAAAACAGCAACAAGGCCAACCAAAGTGCTGTACAAAAGAACACAAACATGCACAGCAGACAGGAAAACATAAAATAGAAATACAGATACAAATAGCAGCAGAAGCTAACTAAAATGGCCAACAGAGTAGAGAACAGACCGGACCAAAACAAATCACACCGTGTTAAAGGCAAGCGAATAGAAGTGGGTCTTCAAGCGAGACTTAAAGACTGAGAGTGTGGGAGCCTGCCGGACACTCAGTGGCAACTCATTCCACAGTCGTGGACCTGCAACAGAGAAAGCCCTGTCACCTCTGAGCTTACGACGGGTTTCTGGGACTGAGAGAAG